AAAGGTGGAAGATCGAATGGATGGGAGGGGAAGCGTGAGGCATAAGCTAAGCATTCAGGTATAAATAGGGGAAGGAAGAACACGGTAAGTAAGAGCATTACAAACCCTAAACATATATACTGCGCTCTTCTCAGAATCCTACTAACTTAAGCATCGGAGATTTAACGCCGGGATCTTCCCCGGCGTCTTTGCAGGTCCGCGAGAGCTTAAGAGGTGGAGGAACGTGGAGAGCCGGTTCAAGGTACGCGAGTACATCACTCTGAATACATTTTCTTTTGTAAAAAAATATGAAAAAACGTATTTAAGGATTACGTTTTCTATACAAATTGAATAAGAAACGTATTCCTTAAATACATGCTTTCTATTGTTTTCTACTCCTTTATTTATTTTTTTTGGTCCACATGTTTTTTTTTTATTTTTTTTAATTAAATTGCTCCACATGCTTGGCTCGTGCCTTTATCTGCCATTGCTAATAAAATAACCTTCAACATGTTGCAAAATCTGATGATTCTTGAAGATTAGTCTTATCCAAACAGCTGTGACCCGTGTAGTATGGCTACGCACAATTTTTTTATTTTTGTTGTTTTGTGAAATGGTACATCATAGGTTACAAGGCTTTTTGCTTTCTTTTTAATTTATGTGTAGAGAAAGTGGGGTGTACTGTGATGGTGTGTAAGGTGTAAGGTCATTTTTATATTTATTTGGTGGGAGCAATTCTTAGGCGTGACAGGGTGTAAAGGTAGGTGGCAAGTTGGTCAAAAAAGAAGGTGAATGAAAGGAAGGTAATGGGCGGGAGAAAAAACTAGAAATACCGGGAAGAGTGGGGAAAAAAAATTTCGAGGCAATATAAAAGGATGTGTTGCACGACGAAATCATCAACAACAAATCATCATGGTTTCTCAACTACGTTTGTGTTCTTGCGGGCGTGGTCGGATGTTTCGTTTTATGGCTAAAACAGATAAAAATTATGGTCGGTATTTTTATCGGTGTCCAGCAGGTTTACAACACCCAGGGAGTTTCGTTTGGGAAAACGAGAACTATTTTTCTTCAACGCCACCTGCTCAAACGTATTGTAATACACAATCCAATGCACAAAGTAGCAGTCATACGACTCGTGGGTCCAACTACTCAAGCACGTCACATGCGGCAACGAACAATGATACTCCGACAGGCCCTGAAATTGCGACCCCAGATGTCGTTACTAGTTTTCTTTTGGTCATTGGGTTCTTAACTATTGTAGCACTTTTAAAATTCATCATGATGTAATGTAAAAATTTTATTAAAATAATCCCGTATGTTTTTGTTGTAGTGTTTCTATTTTATATGAAAATTATCGATGTATCAATGCAAATTATTTTTCATTTCTATATTTAGTTATATCCTAAAACGCTTTCTGTAGTGTATAATAAAATGCTTGTTATTTGGTATATATTTTTTCTTTTTATTTAAGCATGCAAAGCAAAAGAGGAAAAGAATTGAAAAATTTTACAAGGATTTGACGATAAAAAATATAAACATAATTTTAATGCATACAATTCTATCTGTTATCAAGAGTATTCATTAATATAAGTGAGGCATGGGCGCATGGGGAAAACTTATCAAACTGAAAAAAAAAAACACAACATGTACCACTGACTGTAGGCATGGGCCGAAGTTATCAAAATGAGATTGGAATGTGGTGTAATTGGAATAGTGTTAATGTGGACCGTCAATGTTTCATATGTTGGGGTATTTT